CAAACATGGCTGCCCCCATATATCAACAACCAGCCGTTCAGCTTACCAGATCAACCGGACAACCAGCCGGATCACCAGCCGCTATCCCACCAGCAAATCTTCATATGCAGTATGTAGACTCATCAATGCTTTCAGCCATTTCTCAGGGTAAGTTCATCGAACTTAGTGATTTACATCCTGACACTCTCAGGCCTTCAACTACCCAGCAGAAATCTATCAACCCGAAGCTTGGCTTGCCTACGATAAATCATTCCGGATGAATGCAGCACGATATCCAACAACCAACTGGAGTATCCCCGATCCTCAGCTAGACTTTGTTCATTTTCAACAACACCCACACCTCATCATACCAACATGTTTTTCCTGTGGCAAGAAAGGACATAGAAAATCGGAGTGCACAATAAACCAGCAAATTGATACAAACCCATACTACTGGAGCAACCCCAAGCCACGATCATCATCTGGTACCCGCACATCAACTGCAAACTCCAGTCAGATCTGTCGGAAATTCAACAATGGTACATGCAGCAGTCCCTGCCAAGCTGGATGTATTCACAAGTGCCTCATATGCTCCGCTTCCGACCATGGTTCGTCAAGTCATGGCAGTAGTGGAGCCAACTCAGCAAAGCAGCCCTTTCATCTGCAGCCCTTTCGAGGAAATGATCATGGCAACTAACGCAACCCACACCATATTTCCGGCAACACCACTCAAGCTGCATGCCTTCACATCATCCCTACATGACCACCCAGACAAAGAATTCACAGCTTCACTACTACGCAACATCTCAGAAGGTGCAAATCTTGGCTTTAAAGGACACCAGCATTGTAGAACTACACCTAACGCAAAATCAGCTCTCGCAAACCCTGACGCCATCACTAAATCTATTCTGAAGGAGGTCAAGCTCGGACACACCATCGGGCCATTCACCTCACCACCGCTGCCAAATTTTGCCGTCAACTCGCTTGGTCTTCGTCCAAAAAAAGACTGGTGGTCATCGTCTGATCCTAGACCTATCTCAACCCACATCCGACAGCGTCAACCACCACATAAATAAAGAAGACTATACACTACATTACTCCCGCGTTGACGATGCCATTGCACTAATTCAGAAATGCGGTCAAAGTTCACTACTAGCAAAAATCGATATCCAACATGCCTTTCGGCTCTGTCCCGTGAGGAAAGATGACTGGAATCTCCTCGGTTTCAAGTGGCTTGGATGTTACTTCTTCGACAGAGTCCTCCCGTTCGGCCTCAGATCAGCTCCGTACCTTTTCAACCAGCTAGCCGAAGCAATTCACTGGATCATCACCCAACGAGCAAACACACAGAACCTCATTCACTACCTGGATGACTATTTAGCCGTTGGCCCCCCAACTCACACGCATGCCTACACATCATGAACACCATGCTATCTGTGTGCAAAGACTAGGCGTTCCTATCGCCAAGGAAAAGGTGGAAGGCCCCTCATCTACGCTCACATTTCTCGGGATCGAACTTGACACTGTCAAGATGGTCATCAGACTACCAGACGTCAAGTTGAACGACCTACTACAAGTACTCCCCACTTGGCTCCATAAAACCTCTAGCACGAAACGAGAGCTCTTGTCACTGATTGGCACGTTGAGCTTTGCTTGTAAGTGTGTGCCTGACGGACATATTTTCCTCCGCCGCATGATCAACCTCAGCACATCTGTCACCAATATCAACAGCATCGTTGCGTTGACTGAAAACTTCAGACTTGATGTTCAGTGGTGGTGCGACTTCCTACCATCCTGGAATGGTTCCGCATCATTCTTAGAGTCCAACTGGTCACCTGCTCCGAAGCTCGAACTCTTCACAGACGCATCAGGTTCTATTGGTTGCGGCGGCTTCTACATTGGCCATTGGTTTACCATACCATGACCAGCATATTTTCCAACATCCATTGAATGGAAGGAAATGTATCCTATTCTAATCGTCTGTTCAATTTGGGGGCATTCCTGGCACGGTCAACGCATACTGTTCCACCGCGACAATGAAGCCGTTGTTAACATCTGGAAGAAAGGATCAACACGATGTTCAAATATCATGCGCCTTATCCGGGCAATCTTTTTCGTTGCTGCAAAAGGGAACTTTCATGTTATGATCACCCATATTAATGGCGTCAATAACTCTATTGCCGATTCACTTTCTCGTTCACAGATGCAACGCTTCAAGCAACTGGTTCCAACAGCCGACCACGCCGCTACTCCAATTCCACCCGATCTACTCCCAGAGCACATCATTCCTCAGAACTACCAGCTGCACACTGAAGTACACAAGCCCTAGCAGCACAAGCACATTTGTACATGCAATGCAGCATCGCAGACTCAACCCGTCGAACATACCAAGTCGGCCAAAACCGCTACCACAACTTCTGTGACCTATACTGGCTACCAGCATACCCAGTCACACCACAAACAACCATACTATTCGCCACCTACCTAGCTCAGACTGTCGTAACGTACAAAACCATTAAGGTCTACCTGGCAGCCATTATCCATCTACACACTGACTCAGGTCAACCAGACAACATCTCGGACAACGTACAGTTACAACGTACACTACTTGGCATCAAAAGGTCATTAGGGGACACCAAGAAACCACGACTCCCTATCACTATGAACATTCTAAGACGCCTGAAAGAATCACTCCGAACGCACCCGTCCATCCACACAAATGACAAACTCATGCTATGGTCAGCATTTACGGTTGCCTTCTTTGGATTCCTAAGAGTCAGCGAGTTTACTGCAACGTCGCCCCAGCATTTCGACAAAACCCGTACTTTACTGATCGAAGACACAACATGTGCAATCGAGCTATACGTCCAGTTACGAGCCTCCAAAACAGATCCATTTCGTCATGGCTGCATCATCAAAATTGCGCCTACATTCACCTCAGTCTGTGCCGTTCGTGCGTACACCAAGTATCGCAGCATCTGTGCCCCATCACCCCAAACGCCTGCCTTCCAGTTCCACTCATGGAGTTGGCTTACACGTCAAAGCCTAACTACCCACTTGCGTGACCTGTTGACTAGAGCTGGGATCCAAAATCCACGCCTGTACACAACCCACAGCTTCAGACGAGGGGCAGCAACAACCGCAGCAGAAGCGAATGTGCCAGATTGGTTAATCAAGACTCTAGGAAGATGGCGAAGCGACGCATACCAAGTGTATATCGACACACCTTCGTCAACGCTACAAGACGTGCCTCGAATTCTCTGCGGACATTCATCTTAGGCGCCGCCTCCTACTACCTGTGGATTCTCAACCTCACGTGACTCTCACACTGGCATCTCGTTTGCCACATCCACGTACTTGCGTTATGCCCGTGGTGCCATTTTCTAACTTTGTACTCGCTCATTATCACCTCGTTACATTTATTTACATGAACTATATTTCGCGTTAGACATTTACCTTGACACGTTCGTATCATCTATTTCACTTTCAGTCGTGTCGACCACCTCTTGCATTTTATATATCACGAGCAACATCACAGTTATGTACTTTAATGCCACAACATATATTTATACCGATTCCTCGGCTTGCTTGTCGCTGCGCCATTCCCGGCCATCTCATAATTTGGGGGTTGTCATCGCAGTGCATGCGGGTACCACTCGATTAACACGCTGCCATTCTTCGTGAATAGAATCAAACATGCGACTCTGTGCACAGAAATGGTATCCGCAACGACGGTCGGGTGGTGACCCCTGTGTTGACTGGCCTCGATCAAGTACCATGCTAATCTCTCCATGATGTGAATCAAATCTGCGACTCACATCACGGAACAGGTTTCAGCGACGACGCTTGACCGTGGCTCACACCCCTT